TTTAAAAATAAAATAAAAATAAAAGCAAAGGACATTCAACGTCTCAAAGTTGAGGAACTGTGCTTAACCAGACATGTGACACTCATATCCTTCCTCTTCATTATCTTGCTGAATAATAACTAGCATTACAAATCCAATACATTAATGGTACTGAAAAAAATCTAGAAGAATGGGAATAGGAAGAATAGGGGAGTTTCCAAGGCAAGAACAAAAATGTATGGCTCCCCCCACCAAAAATTATGTCTCCCAACCTCACTAACACTGGCTCCCTCTGACCTCAGTTGTAGAAGAGTCCCAGTCTTTACTCTTCTTTTCTCCACCTACCAACATATTTGGTGTTCTACCACCCAGTGCTCTATTTATCACATCACAGTTCTTTATTTTTTTTAAATTTTTATTTATTTATGATAGTCACACACACACACACACAGAGAGAGAGAGAGAGAGAGAGAGGCAGAGACACCGGCAGAGGGAGAAGCAGGCTCCATGCACCGGGAGCCCGACGTGGGATTCGATCCCGGATCTCCAGGATCGCACCCTAGGCCAAAGGCAGGCACTAAACCGCTGCGCCACCCAGGGATCCCCAGTTCTTTATTTTTAATTGAGATATAATCCACATAATAGACTATGCAACATTGTAAAGTATACAGTCCAGTGGTATACTTTGATAGACAACAGTCACCCTAATTCCAGGACAGTTTCATCACCCCCCAAAATAAATACCGTACCCATCAGCTGTGACCACCCCCTTCTTCCCTCCTCCAGGCAACAACTAATTCCCCTTCTGTATCCTAGATTTGCCTCTTCTGGACATTTCATACAAATGTGTGTCTAGCTTCTTTCACATAACGTGTTAGCTTCAAAGTTTTTCCATGTCGTAGCATACATACCAGCACTTCATTCTTTTTGAAGGCTGTATAATATTCCCTTACATAGACACATCACCTTTGTTCATCTGTTCCTCAGTTATTGGACATTCCAGTGGTTTCCACTTTTGACTATTATTAATAATGCTATGAGTATTCACATACATGGTTTTGTGTGGACATATGTTTTTAATTCTCTTGGATACATACCTAGGAGTGGAATTGCTGAGTCACCTAGTAACTCTATGTCTAACCCTTTTGAGGAACTGCCAAACTGTGCTCCACACATAACTATGCCATTTTATGTTCTCACCAATGTATGAAGATTCCAGTTTCCCCATAATCTTGCTACCACTTATCATTCTCCATCTGATTACAGCCATCTTAGGGAGTATAAAGTAGTATCTTATTATAGCTTTGATTTGTATTTCCCTAATGACTTAAGACACTGAACATCTTTTCATGTGCTTATTGGCCATTTGTGTATTTTCTTTGGAGAAATGTCTCTTTAAATGCTTTGCCCATTTAAAAGTTCAATTATTAGTCTTTTTATTGAGTTGTAAGAGTTCTTTATGTGTTCTGGATATTCTGGATACTAGACTTTTATCAGACATATGATTTGCAAATATTTCTCCCATTCTGTGAGTTGTCTTTTACTTTCTTGATAATGTCCTTTGAAGCACAAAAATCTGTTTAATTTTTTATAAAGTCCAATTTGTCTATTTTAATCCTTTTATTATTTGTGCTTTTGGTGTCATGTCTAAGAGACTCTTGCCTAATCCAAGGTCATAAAGATTTCTAAGAGTTTTTATAGCTTGGGCACTTCCATTTAGGTTAATCCATTTTGAGTTAACTTTTTATATATAGAATGAAGTGTAGGAATCCTTATTTTGTATATGAATATATAGTTGTCCCAGCGCCATTCGAAAAGACCAGCCTTCCCACATTGAATTGCTTTGGCACTCTTGTTGAAAATCAGTAAACTATAAATGTGAGGATTTATTCTTGTACTGTCAGTTCTGTTCCATTGGTTTATATGTCTATCCTTTTTGTTTTTGATCTTCACACTCAGTTTATTCACTTTTAATTTACAGAACATCAGAGATTTACATTTCTTTCCAGTGTTAGCATTTTTATTTTTATTTTTTTTAAATAATAAATTTATTTTTATTGGTGTTCAATTTGCCAGCATACAGAATAACACCCAGTGCTCATCCCGTCAAGTGCCCCACTCAGTGCCCATCACCCATTCACCTCCACCCCCCGCCCTCTTCGCCTTCCACCAACCCTAGTTTGTTTCCCAGAGTTAGGAGTCTTCATGTTCTGTCTCCCTTTCTGATATTTCCTACCCATTTCTTCTCCCTTCCCTTCTATTCCCTTTCACTATTATTTATATTCCCCAAATGAATGAGACCATATAATGTTTGTCATTCTCCGATTGTATATGTCTATCCTTATGCCAGTGCCACACTATGATTACTGTAGCTTTGAATTGGGTTTTGAAAGCAGAGCACGTGAATCTTCCCACTTTTTTGTTCTTTATCTAGATTTTTTTTTGGCTATTCTGGGTCCCTTGAATTGATATAAGAATTTTAGAATTAGCCTGGAAAGAAGTCAGCTGTGATCTTGATAAGGGTTGTGCTGAAGCCATAGTTCAGTTTGGGGCATACTGCCATTTTAACAATATTTTCTTCTGGTCCATGACCATGGCATTTTTTCCATTTATTTCAATCTTCTTTAATTTCAACAATGTTTTGTAGTTTTCAGTGTATGGGTCTTATACTTTTTGGTTAATTTTTTCCTAAGTATTTTATTCTTTTTAATTTTGTTATACATGGAATTTTTTTCTTAAAATCATTTTGGATTCCTCATTGTTAATACATAGAAATACAGCTAACTTTTATATATTGATCTTGTATCCTGCAACCTTGCTGAACCCATTTGTTAGTGCTAAGGTTTTTTTCTACATTCCTAGGAATATGTCTTGTGGTCTTCTAGTTTCCCAGGAATATGTTGGAGCATTTCACACTCTTGTGGATATCTCATTTCTCAGCCTTTTCTTTTAAACTTTTAGATTAGGGTTTTTGTTTTTTTTTTTTTTGTCCCAACTGTTATCCATTGCCTTACACAGCTGCCAGTTTAAAACATTTACCTGTAATTGTTTTTAAAAATGCTCCTTGGGATATCTGGGTGACTCAGAGGTTGGGTGTCTGCCTTCCTCTCTAGGCGTGATCCTGGAGTTCTGGGATCCAGTCTCACATCCAGCTCCCATAGGGAGCCCACTTCTCCCTCTGCCTATGTCTCTGCCTCTCTCTGTCTCCCTTTGCCTGTGTCTCTGCCTCTGTGTGTGTGTGTCTTTTTCATGTAAATAATAAATATATATATATATATATATATATATATATATATATATTTTAAATGCCCGTTGAGAAGAAGAGGCTTCTAGCATTGTGCAGTTCTCAATGAGGTCAAGGACAAGCTTCTCAATTGAGGTTTTCCAGGAAACTCTGTAGACAGGTAAAACAATGACAGTTCTTTGGGAAGGAGGCTTTAAGGAACTCCAGCTCCATTTTGCTCCCCTGGGATGTGGGCTATTTTTCAAGGCTACCATCAGGATACAGAGCAGAGGTCTAGAACAAGTTAAAACAACAGATCTCACTGTTCTTATAGAATTAATACATTTTCCCTTAATTAATGCTCTCTGGGTTGCTGTAGGCCCATTGGTTAAATTTTCCAAAATGATGAAAACATTGATTCTATGTTTGCCAGTTTTTGTCATTGTCGTTGCTTTTATGGAGGGATGAATTTTCAAATGTCCTCACTCTCCCATTTTCACTGATTCACCTATAACATGGTTTAAAATACCTAAAGTCTCAATGACCATCAGCTAATTAAATACTTCATCATGGGAGTCGATTAGAGAAAAGGAATAAAAATAGAAAATGTAATTCTCAGAGGAGCTCTCCCAGATGGAGAGATGAAGTTCAACATGAATACAGTTTCTATATTTAGTGCTCTCAAAGTTTATGGTAACCGCTGTTTTATAAATCCCCTTTTCTTCATGTGAGTTAAACACAGGCTTTGGAGTCAGAACTCAGTTCAAATTCCAGCTCTGCTTCTGACTGGCTTGACAACCTCGGACAAATTATGTAACCTCTCTGTACCTCAGTTTCCTCATTTGTAAAATGAGGTGATGATAGTATCTATCACATAAGGTTATTATAAGGATTAAATGTGAAATGCTGATCACAGATGCCTTACAGCCCAATAATAGTATTGGTTATGAAGATTATCTTTCTAATACTTGGTAAAAGTATAGTTAATGATTCTTGAGTAGAGTCAACCTCAAGGCAGATTGTCTTTTCTTTTCTTCCTATTTCTTTTACCTTTTTTGTTTTAAAGAGTTGGGAAGAAGGTCTGTTAAGCATTTTGGAATAAAAGCTTGTGTCAAAAAATGACAAGATGTCCTTTATTCAACAAACATTAAATAGTCAATAACAAGCACTATACTATGTCAGGCACAGGGACAACATGACAATCAAGTATGGTCTCTGCCCTCCAGGAGCCGAGAATCCAGGAGACTGATAAGGAAACGGGTGATACATGCCATGACAAAGGCTGTAATGCAAGAATACACACAGGCTATGTGGTGGGAATATAGCTTTCACTGGCTGCTCATAGATTTAGCCCTTCTTGTTTGGCTCCAAAACTGAAGAATTGGTTATCCTTTTTGTCTTTAACTGGGTGGTTTAAACTGTAGGATTTTTAAACTTTCTAGAGATAAAAGAAAAGCACTTTGAATTATGGAGGACACTAGAAATAGTATTTCCTACAGAAATTACTTCCTACTGGTATAGTCACTTCTGAGGTTTTCAACCTGAAATGTTCTTTGGCATATTTTTTCTTTGCCATCCACTTAAAATTTTTTTTTCTCTCTTTCTCTTCCCACTTTACCATTCAGAGACCTGGGTAGTGCCCAAAGGAAGAATGTTTTACAGATTCTAAGGGTGATTTATAGGCAAAGGCAGAAAATGATTGCTTTTAAACTTCAAGTTCCATACCAAAAAAATGAACATAAATTTTCATGGTAGTTACTTAAAATGCAGATAATTTTAATTCCATTGCATTTTTCAGAATTCTCAGTCGTAACCCTCTGACAACTGTTGAAGATTCATATCTTTTTAAATTGCCAGCATTAAAATATTTGTAAGTATTACAACAATCTCATGGCTCATGAGATGATTTCTGCTCTTTTTTTTACTTTTGTCAAAGATTAAATCTTTTGCATTTTGAATAAAAAGTCATAATTTAAATTTTAGCTGGGTTATTGCAGTAAGAATTATTGGCAAAGAAAGAATGTATATGGACAAGACAGCCTGTAGTAGAAGAGAGCAGTATTGAAGAACACATAGAGATATGGAACATGCAGGTGTATATGGAAATATTTACCACATATGTAGAAATATCATTTATCTCAAAAAGCAAACTGGAATAAGGTATACCTTATTTAAAACAAAAGACTAATCAAGAAAGGTGGATGCAACTTAGAATGAGTAGAAAAAGGGTAAAAAGAGATTGTACTGTTTAGCACCAAGGTGATTATGTTCGTGATGCACATAAATTTTAATTTCTTCAATAAGAATGCTCTGAAATTATCTTCCATAGCAAGTAAACTCTTGAGCTAGCTTGACAGAGAAGCCAGAATTTAAATAATCACATACTATTAAGTACCTTTTTGTACTTGGTGTGGAATTTTAGTCTTCGGTATCATGCATGTTTGGGCGTTCTCTTTCAGAGACATGGGAACAACACAGGTGTCACTTTCAACAATTGAGAGCATTCTCATGATGTCCCTAGAATTGGAAAAACTGTAAGTTGATTTTTCTTATGTTTATTATCACTTCGTTGTGTATTTAGTTTTGTTTTATTTTTAAGTCAGATTTATTGAGGCATAATTTTCAGTTAATATGTACTGTTTTTAAGTATGCAGTTTTTAATGAGCTTTGGCAAATATATAGTTGTGTAACCACCACCACGTTTGAGATACAGAACATTTCTGTTTGTAGTTAATCCCCTGTTCCCACTATCAGCCCCTGACAGGCATCAACCTGATTTTTGTCCCTATAGTATTTTTTCCACCATGTCTTTTCTTTTAAGATTTTATTTATTTATTCATGAGAGACAAAGAGAGAGAGAGAGTGAGAGGTCAGAGGGAGAAACAGGCTCCATACAAGGATTCTGAGGTGGGACTTGATCGCGGGACTCCGGGATCACTCCCTGAGTCAAAGGCAGATGCTCAACTGCTGAGTCACCCAGGCGCCCCATCCACCGTGTCTTATGAATGAAATCATACAGTATGCAGGTCTTGTGTGACTGGCTCCTTTGACTCAGCATAATCCTTTTGAGATTCATCCATGTGATTGCATCAACCCGTAATTCACTCCTTTTTATTACTGAGTAGTGTTACAGATGTGTGGATATATCAGTTTGTTTATGCATTCATCACTTAATGGACATTTGAGTTGTTCTGATTTTCCTCTTGGCTATGATGAATAAAGCTGCTAAAAGCAGTCACGTGCAGGCCTTTGTGTGAGCATATGCTTTCATTTTGGGGGAGGTGAAATACTTAATGGTAGGATTACTACATCATGTGCTAAGTGTATATTTAACTTTTTAAGAAACTGCTTCCTAGGGGTGCATGGGGGGGGTGTTAGTCAGTTAAGTGTCCAATTGTTGATTGCTGATTTTGGCTTAGGTCATAATCTCAGGGTTGTGAGATCAAGCCCCCAGTGGGGCTCCATGCTGAACGTGGAGCATGCTTAAGATTCTTTCTCTCCCTTTCTCTCTGCCCCTCCTCCCCACCCCACTCATACACATGTGCTTGCTCTCTCTCTCTCTCTCTCTCAAAAAAAACAAAACAAAAACAAAAACAAAAACAAAACACCTGCTTACCTCTTTTCTAAAGTGGATGTAGGGCAGCCCAGGTGGCTCAGCAGTTTAGCGCCACCTTTGGCCCAGGGTGTGATCCTGGAGACCCAGGATCCAGTCCCATGTCGGGCTCCCGTGCATGGAGCCTGCTTCTCCCTCTACCTGTGTCTCTGCCTCTCTCTCCCTCTCTCAGTGTCTCTCATAATAAATGAATAAAATCTTTAAAAAAATAAAGTGGACATACCATTTTGCATTCCAACCAGCAGTGTATGACATCTTTACTTTATATTTCAGTTAAAAAAATTTTAGACTTTGTACCTTTAATTTGCATTTCTCTAATAGCTCATGATGTTGAGTGTCTATTCATGTACCAATATCTTTTTAAATAATGTGTCTATTCAAATCTCTTTTCCTTTTCCTTTTATTTTTTTCTTAAAGATTTATTTATCTCAGACACACACACAGAGAGAGAGAGAGAGAGAGAGTGAGAGAGAGAGAGAGAGAGAGACCAAATGTGGTGGGGGGTGGGGGGTAAAGGCAGTCAGAGAGGGAGAGAGGGAATCTCGGATTCCTCACCAAGCTTGGAGCCTGATTTGGGGCTCAATCCCACAACCCTGAGACCATAACCTGAGCCAAAATCAAGAGTCAGACATGCAGCCAACTGAGCCACCCTGGTGCCTCCAAATCCATCGTTCAGTTGGATACATACTATTGAGTTTTAAGAGTATATTACATATTCTGGAAAAAGTCTTTTCTCTCAGGTGTTTAGCAAATTTCTCCCAGGCTGTGGCTTGTCTTCATTCTGTTCTATCTCTGAAGACCAGAATTTTTAATTTTTAAATTTTGATGAACTCACCTATTTCACCCATCACTCCACCCCTTGTCCCCTCTGGGGACAACTATAGTTTGTTCCCTATAATAAATGTCTGTTTCTTGACTCTCTCTCTCTCTCCTTTGCTCATTTTTTTTGTTTGTTTCTTAAATTCCACATATAAGTGAAATCACCTGGTATTTGTCTTTCACTGGCTGACTTTCTTTGCTTAGCATTATACTCTAATGTTGTTGCAGGTGGCAGGATTTCATTCTTTTTATGGCTGAATAATATCCCATTGTTTATATATACCACATATTTTTTATCCATCCATCTATCAATAGACTGGTAGGTTGTTTTCCATAACTTGGCTATTGTAAGTAATGCTACATAGAGGTGCATGTATCCCTTTGAATTAGTGTTTTTGTATTTTTTGGTTAAATACCCAGAAGTGCAATTACTGGATCATAGGGTAGTTTTATTTTTAATTTTTTGAGGAACCTCCATACCATTTTCCTCAGTGGCTGTACCAGTTTGCATTCCCGCCAGCAGTGCATAACTTCTTATGTCTCCATATCCTCACTAAAATTTGTTGTTTCTTGTGTTTTTTATTTAAGCCATTCTGACAGGTGTGAATTGATATCTCATTATGGTTTGTATTTGCATTTCCCTGATGATACTGAGCATTTTTTCATGTGTCTGTTGGCCGTATGCATGTTTTCTTTTTTTTTAAGATTTTATTTATTTATTTGAGAGAGAGAAAGAACATGAGCAGGAGGAGGGGCAGAGGAAGAGGGAGAGAGAGAGAATCCCAAGCAGATTCCCCTCTGAGTACCTAGCCTTACCCAGGGCTCGATCCCAGGACCCTGAGATCATGACCTAAGCTGAAGGCAGACACTTAACCAACTGAGCCACTCAGGCACCCCTGTGCATCTTCTTTGGAGAAATGTCTGTCTTCCAATCAGTTTTTAAGTGGATTATTTGGGGGGTTTTGGTGTTGATCTGTAGACATTCTTTATACATTTTGGATACTAAACGTATATTGAATATGTCACTTGCAAATATCTTCTCCTATTTGATAGGTAGTCTTTATTTTTTTGTTGTTGTTTCCTTTACTATACAGAAACTTCATATATTGTTTGATATGGTGAAACATTGTTTAGAATTTTGCATCTGTGTTCATGAGAGATATTGGTCTATTGTTTTCTTTTCTTGTACTGTCTTCTCCTACTTATGATAAGGGAAAACCTGGCCTTAAAAATGAGTTGGGGGATCCCTGGGTGGCACAGTGGTTTGGCGCCTGTCTTTGGCCCGGGGCGCGATCCTGGAGACCCGGGATCGAATCCCACGTCAGGCTCCCGGTGCATGGAGCCTGCTTCTCCCTCTGACTGTGTCTCTGCCTCTCTCTCTCTCTCTCTCTCTCTCTCTCTCTGTGACTGACATAAAAAAAAATGAGTTGGGAAATATTCTTTTCTCTTCAACTTTCTGATAGAGTTTGTGTAGAATTGGCATTATTTCTTCCTTAAATGTTTGGTAGAATCACTCATGAAGCCCTGTGGATTTGAAGCTTTCTTTGTGAGAAAGTTGTATATTACACACTCTATTTCTTTAATAGTGATATTTAAGTTACATATTTATTTTTGAGTAGTTTACATCTTTTATGATCTGTTCATTTCACCTTGAATTGATTGACAAATTATTTTATAATATTCCCTTCTTATCCTTTTAATATCTGTAGGGATGCCTGGGTGGCTCAGTGGTTGAGCATCTCCCTTTGGCTCAGCTCATGACCCCGGGATTCTGGGATTGAATCCCACATGAGGCTCCCTGCAGGGAGCCTGCTTCTCCCTCTGCCTCTGCCTCTGTCTCTCTCTGTGTCTCTCATGAATAAATAAAAATAAAATCTTTAAAAAAAAAAGAAAAGAAACAAGGGACATGTCACCCCCTGTTTCTTTCTTTTTTTTAAAGATTTTACTTATTCATGAGAGACACAAACAGAGAGAGAGAGGGGGGAGACAGAGGCAGAGACACAGGCAGAGGCAGAAGCAGTCTCCATGCTGGGAGCCTGATGTGGGACTTGATCCCGGGACTCCAGGATCAGGCTTTGGGCCGATGGCAGGCACTAAACCACTGAGCCACCCAGGGATCCCTGACCCCTCTCATTTCTGATACTGATAATTTATGTCTTCTCTTCTCTTGTCTTGTCTTAATCAGTCTGCCTAGAGGTTTATCAGTTTTACTTATCTTCTCCAAAAACCGTCTTTTGGGGCACCTGTGTGGCTCAGTGGTTGAGCATCTGCCTTTGGCTCAGGTCATGATCCTGGGGTCCTAGAATCGAGTCCCTCATCAAGCTCCCCACAGGGAGCCTGCCTCTCCCTCTGCCCATGTCTCTGCCCCTTTCTCTGTGTCTCTCATGAATAAATAAATACAGTCTTTAAAAATAAATAAATAAAAACTGTCTTTTCATTTCACTGGCCTCTCTATTTTTGTTTTCTGTTTTCTTTATTTGTGCCTTGATCTCTATTATGCTATTTCTTCTCCTTATTCAATGATTAATTTTCTTTTCTTTTTTTAGTTTCTTAAAAGTGGATACTGGGGAAGCTGAACACCGCATTAGCAACATCCCATATGTTGGCATGGTTTCAGTTTTAGTACGAAATAGTTCTTAATTTCCCTTTTGATTTCTTTGACTGGCAGGGTTACTTAGAAGTATGTTGTTTAGTTTCTAAATAATTTGGAGATTTTTCAAATCTGTTAATTTCTAATTTAATTCCATTGTAGTCACAGAACATATGTTGAGTGACTGAAATCCTTTTAAATTTATTGAGGCTTGTTTTATACCCATGAATTCTGGTATTAGATGAGCCTATGATCTATTTTGGTAACTATTATGTATCTACTTGAAAAAAATGAGTACTCTGATTTTGGGTGGAGCATTCTATAATGTCAGTTAGGTCAAGTATGTAGATAGTGTTATTCAAGTCTGCTATATCTTTACTGATTTTCTATATATTTTTCTGTCAATTATTTAGAAAGCGATATTGAAATCTCCCACTATAATTGTGTATTTATTTGTCTCTCTTTGCCATTCTCCTTCATATATTTTGAAGTTCTGTTATCAGATGCATAAATTTTTAGGTTATGTCTTTTTTATTAGTTGATATTCCTATAATGATGGAATAACCTCCTTTATCCTTGGTGATATTTTTTTTACTTTGAAATGGACTTTATCTTACAGTAATGTAGCCACCCAAGGTTTCTTTTGATTACTGTTAGCATAGCACAATTTTTTCTATACTTTTAACCTACTTGTATCTTTCTATTGAAGATGATTCTTATAGACAGCATATAGTTGGCTTTTGCTTTTTTATATTTTAATTAGGGTGATTATACCATTGCACCTAATGTAATTATTAACATGACTACATTTAAAGCTACTCAACTCTCTATGTGTCCCATCTGTTCTTTGTTTTGCTCTTTTTTTCTTTTTCTTCCTACTTTTGGATGACTGAGTACACTTTTAAATTAAATAATTAAATTAAATTAAATAATTAAATTTTATTTGTTAGCTAGTTAATTACAACTCAGGTTTTGTTAGTTTAGTAGTAGTTTAATGGTTTGTAGTGTTCATCTTTAACTTTTCACAGTCTATCTTCAAATAATATATGATTTCATGATTGGTATAAGAACCTTACAATATATAGTGTACTTCATTTCTCCCTTACTGGCCTTTGTGCTAATGTCTTCATACATTTTCCTTTTACTTCTAAACAGCACACTATATTATTTTTTTGTTTAAACAATAAGTTAACTCCTTTAGGAAGTATAGTTGATGTAATATTAAATTAGTTTCAGATGTACAACATAGTGATTGAACAATTAATACCACAATAAGTGTATTATGGTATTATTAACTATATTCCCTACATTGTACTTTTCATCTGGAGACTTACTTTATAACTAGAAGTTTGTACTTCTTATGTCTTTTCACTCATTTTGACCATATTCACTCATTTTGACCATACCCCCGCCCTCTACTTTAACAGCCACCAGTTTGTTCTCCATATTCATGAATCTGTTTCTCTCTTCTTTTTGTTGTCATTTTTCATTTGTTTAAGATTCTACATATAAGTGAAATCATATTGTATTCGGATATTTAAATAGTAAGAAAAACCTTATGTATTTACCTTTGGAGTTACCAGTTCTAATGTTCTTCTTTCTTTTGTATGGATCCACATTTCTATCTGCTATCATTTTCCTTCTGCTTGAAAATACTTTCTTTAGCTTTTCTACAGTGTAAATCTACTAATGATGAGTTCTTTCAGCTTTTGTATGTCTCAGTCTTTTGTTTTGCTTTTATTTTTGAAAGATCTGGATATAGAATTCTAGTTTGATAGTTGTTGGTCCCCTCTCCTCTTCACTGCTTTAAAGATGTTGCTTTACTGAGTTACATTAATTCCAACAAGAAATATGTTATCATTGTTATCTCTATTTCCCTATATGTTGTGTGGAGGTTTTTCCTTTGGCTTATTTTTAACATTTTCTCTTTACTGATGGCTTGAGAAGTTCGATTATGATGTGCTTTGGCATAGTTTTGTCCATATTTCTTGTGCTTAGAGTTCATTGATCTTCTTGGATTTGTGGGTTTATTAGGGTTACCTGTTTGGACAATTTGGGGGCTATTATTTTTCAAATTATATTTCTTCTCCCTTGTAGACTCTACATATGCATATATTAGGCCACTTGAAGTTGTTGTATAACTCACTAAGTAGAGACATGGGTTTCTTAGTCTGGGATTGTTTTGTTTTGTTTTGTTTTTAGATTTTATTTATTTGACAGAGAGAGAGAGAGCACAAGCAGGGGGAGCAGAGGAGAGGGAGAAGTAGGCTCTCTGCTGAGGAGGGAAACTGATGTGGAGCTCGATCTTGGGACCCTGGGATCGTGACCTGAGCCGAAGGCAGACATTTAACTGATTGAGCCACCCTGGTGCCTCATCAGTCTGGTTTTCTTTAACATATGAAATATTGTTATAACTTTTTTAATAAAGATTTTGTAATTTATTTAAGAGAGAGAAAGAAGAGAGCACACGTGGGTGGGGCAGAGGGAGAGAGAATCTCAAGCAGACTTACAGTGATCTAGGAGCCCAGTGAGGGGCTTGATCTTGTGAGCCTGAGATCATAACCTGAGTTGAAACCAAGAGTCAGATGCTTAACCAACAGTGGCACCCAGGCAGCCCAGTTATAGTAACTTTTTAAACATCCTTGTCTGCTAGTTGTAACACCTGTGTAGATTATGGGTTAGTTTTGATTGATTGCTTTCTATCCTTAATATGGGCCATATTTTAGACTTACTCAGACTCTTCTCAGAAGTCTACCCTCTTCCTGTATGCTCTTAACCCAAAGTGAGACTTTTGGGTCAGAAGGAGATACTTCTGAACTAAACTACTGATCAATGTCACCCAGTTTTTATCTCTGTCTGATTCTAGGCATATCATAACCCCTACCATCCTTACCTATTGGTTGAGCACCTCTGTCCTTCTCTTTATTTACAATATTCATGAGCAACAATTGGCCAACTGGTCCCTACCCAACCCTACCCAACCATCATATGCCTCAAGAATTCCTTTTTGCATAGCCCTGTGAAGACCTTGGCCTGAATCTTCTACTCAAGTAACCCCTTTACCACTAATATAATTCTCTGTGTTTCCATTTATAGGATACTACCTAGCCGTATGTCCTGTTGTCTCTGCCAATTCAAAAATAATATTGAGGTTGTTTGCAAGACAGTCAAGCTGCATTGTGACGGTGAATGTTTGACAAATGCCACACGTTGTGGTGAGTTTGAATTGCCTCATGATATATATATATATATATATATATATATATATATATATATAATTTATATTTAAAGATTTTATTTATGAGAGAGAGAGAGAGAGAGAGAGAGAGAGAGAGAGAGAGGCAGAGGGAGAAGCAGGTTCCATACAGGGAGCCTGATGTGGGACTTGATCCCAGGACTCCAGGATCACGCCCTAGCCTGAAGGCAGGTGCTAAACCGCTGAGCCAACCAGGAATCACCTCATGATATATTTTAAATTTTTAAATTTTATTTATGTTTTAATTTTTATTTTTAATCAACAATGATAAATTTTTAACTAATGATGTCACTGCATTATTTTTATTCACTCAGAATTAAAACCCCTAAATTTCTTTTTTTTCCCAAAGATTTGAGAGAGATGTGAGTCGAAGGAGGGGCAGAGGGAGAGAATGTCAAACAGATTCCCCACTGACTGTGGAGCCCAATGCAGGGCTCAATCCCATGACCTTGAAATCATGACCTGAGCTGAAACCAAGAGTTGTATGCTTAACCCACTGAGCCACTCAGGCACCCTTCAAATCCCTAAATTTATAAGAACTATTGCTTTGTTATAAGTCAGATTCTCAGTTACATTATTAAATTAATTACTCCCAAATGAAAACATATGCATCATAATTTGTAAACTGATTTCATATGTATCAGATCTCAGGTCCCCATTGTCTTATATGACAGGTGGAGATATATTTTTGTTTATTCTGTTTGTTTTTACAAGTTATTAAGAGTAAAAGTGATGCTGATTTATAGATAAAGTTTATTCAGAGCCTGAGAGTTTCTGTTCCCTAACCAGAAACTGCTGCCTTCTTATGGATAGAGAGCACTCTTCTATTCTTGGACTGTCCAACTCGGAACTTGTTCTGAATCCTCAGCTTTTCTACCCAAAAACACTCAGACACTTTTAAGTATTTTTCTGTATACTATGTTTTATTGGCACTAACTTCATGACTTCCAAAATGTGCTTCTGCACCCAGATAGCTTGAATATGGTTCCCTATCAATGACCTAGGGTACATTATAAATAACACTTTGCTACCTCTGTAAATACAATGTTGCTTATTTTTCAAAACAATTTTTTACTAATTACTCCCTTATCTCTTAGAGGTGGGCAGAATAGGCATGTTTAACCTCCTTTCACAGGTGAGGAAAAATGAGATCACAGGTGAGGAAAAAAAAAAAAACAGAGTTAAGTACTGTTGCCTAGCACTCAAGTGTCCCGTTTAGGGCTCTCTACAAGCCCGTTGCTCTTCCTTTCTTGTGACCTTTATTACCTCTTCCTCTGACTCTCATCAACACCGCTGAAAATACTTCTAATTCTTCTGGAAATGAAACTCGGTTGGATAATACTGTGCATGTACACAAGGCATTGCTGACTTTCATGTAGTGGGAAGCTCTGGACGGTACCCTAATAAATAAAGCTAGAAATATTAGAAATGAAAGTGAAGTATATTTCTTCACATTCTGACAAAAAATTTCTTTATCCCTTCTGCATTTTAAAACCTCAAGTATTATTCCATTGATTTATCAAACATTCCACATTGGCATATCTCTCATACCTGGAAAATCTCTTAGCCTACACTCGTTCCCTGCCCAATTTAAGCAAAGAGCCAGGGTGGACTTAGTGCTTTTTTTCTGTCTGGAGCTTATGTTTTGTGTGAGCTGCAATATATGGGAGCAGGGGCCAAGCATAGTAATTGATGGGTAGATGGAGAGGGCATGTCCAGATGAGGCCCTACTAGCAGTGGGTGTTTTCATGGGCATCTGTGATAGTAGCAAGAAAACAAGCACACTGAAGAGACAGAAGGAGGAAACCCCCTGCTCCCACTGCATCTGAAGCAGTACAGGACAGGGTATATGAATACCAGGAGTCACAGTAGATTTGCAGACAGTTTAGCTCAGTGTCTTCCAGACTTGGCTTTTCTTAAGTACTAGATAATTGGCCCTTGGAGACCAAGGGTTATGGAATAATCCTAAATGTAGTTATTCACGTTGTGGAAGGTTCTGAAGAAAGAGCCATTTAAAAAACTACCCTTTTCTCCTTTTGTTGTTGCCAATATAGGTTCAAGTTTGAGTTTGTGTCCTTGATAATGGTACTCAGATATTTGGTGGTTCTTAATTTTTATGACTGGGATGTATGACTGCAGACTGACAAAAAGCTGTGCTATCAGCCTTTCATTATCAAAACTAGTTTCTTCTTTTTCTGACAGATGAAAAAGTATCTATAATGAATGTAGAAGGATCATTCATGAAGGTATTAAAAGCCCGGAAGAAGAGTACCAGTACTGAGCTGACAATTGAGCCAGAGAAGGCATCCTCAGACAAAAATGGCATCGGTCTGTCAGCTTTTATGAATGAGCAGCTAGACTTTAATGATGAAAGTGATGTTATTAGTGCGCTGAATTACATATTACCTTATTTCTCAGAGGGAAATGTAGAAGATGTAGAATCAACATTACTACCATTCATTAAAACTCTGTTTTCAAATGTTCAAGATGGAGACAAGTCTGTGGGTTACTTGACAAACAACACAAAGAGCCCTTCTCTTGAACCTGGACCCAACAATTCAACTTACAAAAATAAACTGAGGAAACTCTCTTTCCTGGAAAATTTGTTAGATGCAGAAATTCAAGAAAAAATTGATGAGGTAAAAAAGAAAGAAAAAACTGCCGTGCTTATACCTCCCGGGCTTTTAGGTCCCAAATTTAAACGCCAAATCTTTCCAAAGAAATTGGAAACTGCCCAAGGACAGGAAAAGAGCCTTCCCAAGGCTAAGAATGTACGGAAGAGGCGGTTTAGAAAAAACAGGGTTCTCAAGGGCCCCAAGGACCTACAGAAAAGGCACTACAAGGAAGTGGATGTTCAGAGCACCCAAGAGAAACAGAGTGCCCAGTCATTTGTGAAGAACATGGCCAAAGAAAGAAGGCTCAGTAGACCATCCCCAAGGGAGCTGGAGGAGCTTCGCATGGCCCAGAGGCCCAGGAAATTAGTGGGAAACTCCGTCCACACAGAGCCTTCATTCATAAAGGAGCACGAGGCAGCAGCCTCTTCTTTCCCGAAGCAATACATAATGGGCAGGCCTTCTGCCTCCACTGCTCCAAAATCCATACCTAAGGTGAGAAACCAATCAAAAGACTTAACCTACCCCATTGCTGTTTTAGAAGATGCGAATGCTAGAGTCAGGGAAATGGAGGCTTCCAGACCAGTCTCACATTCTGGGAAAAAGTATATTTTCCATAAAATTCGCTCACGTATAGTCCAAAGAACACCCAAGACCAAACAAAGTAAAAAGTTCAGAAAGAAAAACTCACTCTCGAATATACTGATGCCTGCACAGAGGCCTCCATTGCCTGCAGTCAGGAGCCTCATAGATTCCCCTTCACAGGAGGCTATTTCATCTTCAGAAAAACGGACTCAGGAAAATCCTTTTCCGGAATTATTTACTCTTTCAGAACCTTCTAAAGAAAACACTACTGTAGAAAACACTACTGCACAGAATGTTTCTGAAGAGATTATTTCTCCAGGAAGCACTACTGTATCAGAACAAACTCCCCCTGAATTCACAAACCGTAGGAATCTTTCCACTACATATTCTACTACCACCAGAGACAACTTTGTTCAGACTGTTAAACAAACCAATGAAACACAATGGGAATACCACAACTTGGTCCCTGACTTGCCCCCAAAGCCCACAGGCTTCAGTGTTGCAAAGCTCTCATCCGCAGGTGATCTATTTGAAATTCAGCTAAACCAGCAGCTACGGTCCCTCATCCCGAATAATGACGTGAGAAGGCTCATTTCTCATGTTATCCGGACTTTGAAAATGGACTGCTCTGAGACCAATGTGCAACTGGCCTGTGCCAAGCTTATCTCCAGAACAGGCCTCCTGATGAAGCTTCTCAGCGAGCAGCAGGAAGTAAAGGTGTCCAAGGCAGAGTGGGATACAGACCAATGGAAGACAGAGAACTATATCAATGAGAGCACAGAAGCCCAGAGTGAACAGAAAGGGCAGGAGTCAAGTGAGGTGAGGATAACTCCTGAACCATGGGGTCTGAACTTTTAGTCAGTTTAGGACATGCAATTAAAGCACCCACGCACAAGGACCAGGGCCTCCCAGTCTGGGTCTTGTCTTAGCCATTAATGTTGGCTGAGACAGTGATCTGCCACTTTGCTCCTTTAGAGAATGGTGCCACTATTCCCAGGTAGATGAGAAGAGGACTTAACATACAAGATAAATATATTATCGAAGAAAGGGCTAATGATAAAATTATATAACACATTAGATTTGGTATATTTCTTTTTTAAGATTTCTTTTTTTAATTTTTATTTATTTACGATAGTCACACACAGAGAGAGAGGCAGAGACACAGGCAGAGGGAGAAGCAGGCTCCATGCACCTGGAGCCCGATGTGGGATTCGATCCCGGGTCTCCAGGATCGCGCCCTGGGCCAAAGGCAGGCGCCAAACCGCTGCACCACCCAGGGATCCCAGATTTGGTATATTTCTTAAGAACCTATAAGCCACTCCTCTGAAAGAATGAAGTTTTAGAGTAGCTTAAGAATAGTTAGCTTTCATCCTGTTTCTTTGATTTCGAAAAAATTGTTGTTTTTTGTTTTTTTTTTTTTTTTTTTTAGCTCACAAAAGAAGTTCCAGGTTATGGCTATAACAACAAACTCATCTTGGCAATATCTGTGACTGTAGTAGTAATGATTTTGATTATAGTTTTCTGTCTCATTGAGGTAAGAACAACCATTAATTCAGATTTCCAGAAAATCTTTTGTCTTTATAATAGATTCAGAATTTACAAACTTAAAATCAAAGCCACTTTCGCACTTACTACTACTTGGTATTCCTCTTTTGTCTGACAGACTGACATGTACCTCGTTCTTTTATTGCAAAGTATATTCTGGGGATTTTTATTTTATTTTATTTTTTTAAAGAGAAGCAATTCTTTTTTTTAAGATTTTATTTATTCATGAGAGACACAGAGGCACAGGCAGAGGGAGAAGCAGGCTCCATGCAAGGAGCCTGATGTGGGACTTGATCCTGGGTTCCCAGGATCACACCCTGGGCTACAGGCAGTGCTAAACCACTGCGCCACTGGGGCTGCCCTATTCTGGGGATTTTTAAAGGAACTTTCCATTGCCAGGAGATTTATGGATTATAAACAAGGCAACAAGCCATTAGACTGTTTTGGGACATTAGGTTTAAGAAGGCCAAGTTAACATGAGAGTAACATTTCTTCAACTCAAAATTCTATTGGTTAGATGTACTCACCAGTCACTTTCAGACTACCACTGATTTCTTTCCTTGGTTGAAATGATGAGAGATAGTATCCACCCTCATGGAGCTATATCAGGCATCCAGGAAAAAAGGACATGGCTTAAAGATAAAAAAAAATATCCTCTTGTTGATTAATTAGATTTACTCAGCAGCTTTTTCCACACACTGAATTATGTGAATAGTTTTGGTTAAAATACTGTAGCTAAAATCCTGCATCAGGCTACTCCAAAGCATGTCATGTCTATAGTCACCTGTTCCTGGAGGTTGCCTGTTTACCTTTTCTTCAATTCCATAATGACTTCACACTGGTTTATGCCAAGCATAGGAAGAAGAATATTCCATATCCAATTTCATGCCCACAACCCTGGGAGGACAATATTACCATCCCTCTTTCATACATAAAAGGGGATCAGCTTAAGGCTCCAGTGGCAAAACCCAAAGCAGAACCCAGTTTTACTTAACTGCAAATCCTGTGCTCTTATTCCACTGTTCTGTCTCCTTAAAGATGAAAACACTGGCCAGCATTTGAAACACTGAAATTCAGTGAAAGCCACTGAAAGGATTAATATATTTAATATGAAAAGAGTTTTATCAGTCACCAGAAGATGACCAACAATCCAAGGGTGAAAGGGGTGAGACTACAAGAAATGGGAGATGTTTTGAGTCTGTCACCGTATATGCGAGTTCTTTCCTTGTGGCCTATGGGATGTGGGTCTTGTTAGCGAGGCCTTTGTTGCCTTTATACTGTCTTCTTCTATACTTATATTTGTTATAATTTATATTTTTCAACCTGTATAGAATCTGTTTTGTTTTTAGGCATGGTTGAGGTAGGGGATCTAACATTTTCCCCCTACAGAAAGATCCAGTTACTTTAAAATCTTTTATTGAATGGTTCATTCTTTCTTAACAGATCTAAAATACTATTCTTTTTTTTTGTAAGATTTTATTTATTCATGAGACACACACGCACAGAGACAGAGACACAGGCAGAGAGAAAAGCAGGCTCGTCTCAGGGAGCCCAATGTGGGACTTGATCCCCAGACCCGGCTTCACCCTGTGAGTCAAAGGCAGATGCTCTACCACTCAGTCACCCAGGCGTCTCTAAAATACTTTTCTTATCTGGACTCTTATCAGTCCAGTTTCCTTTCCCATATCACACTATATACTTAATTCCAAATGCTTTATAATAACCTATTTTGATGTCTGTTAGAGTTAAGCTCATGCTCTTTGACCTCCTTTTTCATACATTTCATAGCTAGACTTGCATATCCCTTTACCAAATGTCAGCTGGCCAGTTTTTATTTTAAAAAAAGAAAAACTATCTTGGGATTTGAATAGGATTGCTTTGAGTTTGAGGAGAATTGACATCTTTGCAATATTCTAGGAACATGGTATCATCATGTATTCATTTCTTAAAGTCCTTCAGAAGAGTTTTAATGTTTTCATCTCAAAGGTCTTCCCCATTCTTTGCTGTAAGTTTATTCCTAGGTACTTTATGTCTTTTATTGATATTTTTTAATCTTTTTAAGATTTTATTTATTTATTCATGAGACACACACACAGAGGGGCAGAGACACAGGCAGAGGGAGAAGCAGGCTCCATGCAGGGAGCCTGATGTGGGAGTCGATCCCGGGACTCCAGGATCACACCCTAGGCGGAAGGCAGGTGCTAAACCATTGAGCCACCGAGGTGTCCTTCCTTTTATTGATATTATAAATCGAACCATTCTTCCATTTGTTAATTAGTTATTTGTGGAACGTAAGAAAGCTATTGCATTTTGCATGTTGAGCTCCTGATTTTTTATTTAGCCACCTTACTGAATTCTCATAGCACTTACAGTAAAATGTATTTTTCTATTTTTTAAAGATTTTATTTATTCATGAGAGACTCAGAGAGAGAAGCAGAGACACAGGCAGAGGAAGAAGCAGGGCCCATTCAGGGACCCTGATGTGGGATTTGATCCCAGGACCCTGGGATCATGACCTGAGCCAGAGGCAGGCGCTCAACTGCTGAGATACCCAGGCATCCCACTACAGTAAAATTTAAGTTGACTCTCTTGGGCCTTTGAGGTTGTCCATAATTTCATATGCAAATATGTTTTGTTGCTTCCTTTCCAATACTTAATTTTTCCTATTGCATTGAGATGCCTGGAATCTTTAAAAGAAGTTTTTTCCTATTTCATTGATTAGGACCTCTTCAACGTGATGAATAGTAACAGGAATAATAGGCATTCTACTCTTGTCCTTGACTTTAAAACAATGTTGCTATTTACATTTCTGGTAGATACTTTTCTTTTCTTACTTCTAAGAAGTTTTATTAGGAATTACCTGTTAGATGTCATCTAAGACAGTCAATAAAATGTATTGCCAGCTGCACACAAGATCCCAAGTTGGGACTATGGAAGAGTCAAAGGACTACTAAACAAATAGAATTCCTGCCCTCAAAAAAGGTTGAATAAGACTTAAAATACAACGGAATGACTACAGATTTGGAGGCATGGTCATTGAGATGGGTACCTGTGATATGTTTTCTTCCAAAACAGATTTATTCTCATAGAGCAGCACCAGTGGAAGACGAAGAAGGAGGCTCAAGGTAAACTGGCAATTATTAAAGCAGAATTTCAGAACTAGATTTTAGAACTCCTATTTCACTCCCCTTGTTTTACACCCAGGAAACTACCAAAGGCAGAAAGAATATTGATTTGGTCTAATGCTTTGCCTGGATCCAGCCAAATTAGCTTCCCAGACAAATCTGAGTTAGAATGGAAGTAACGCAGAGCATCTACTGTCACTACTCCTTTAAAGAAAAAGGGTGGAGAGGGGTTGGATGCACCTGTTCCTGCTGGTAGTGACCATCAGGCCTGGCTACAGAGTCTTGGTCTAAGAGGGCTAGTCTTCAAGGCTGATGGAAGGCAGAAAAATAGGACTCCTCCCTGTAAAGTGGCAGGAAAACTTCCCTCCTCCTCCTAGTTTTTGATCCACCACTCTCCATTCCCTTTGTCCAGACTCCACAGACTGTTAACTGGGAGAGGCCTTAGGTAATAGTTTGTCTCTTCCCTTTATAATAAGGAAATGGAGAAGAAAGGGAAGGTAAATTGCCCCATGGGCATACTGCTACTGAGTGTCAGAAGATGGTTCCTTTCCAGAGGGGCACTTCTCCTCTGATTATACTGTTCTTGGGCTGCGAGCTACATTTTATGTCACAACTCAGTACATACATACTGCCAAGACATAAGCAGGTTTTTAAAAATATTTTTTAATTTATTCATGAGAGACGCAGAGAGAGAAGCAGAGAGATAGAGGGATAAGCAGGCTCCTCTCATGGAGCCTAATGTGGAGTTGATCCCCAGACCAGGACCACACACGCCCTGAGCCAAAGGCATTAATTACTCAACTGCTGAGCCACCTGGGCGTGCCAACATGAGCAGTTTCTAAGACAAACTTACTATACACTCTGATTTTTCTATATTGTTTGTATTCAAAAATAATAATTTCTGTTTTAGTGCTGGCTGTGACCTTTTCACCCACTCATTAGCCACAGCCTGCAGTGAGAAAGTCAGTGAGTTAGGTAACTTTGTTGGTTGGACTCGTGCAATTATTTGGTGTGAATGAACTGTAGGATAAAGCAGCTAGGAAAATAGAAACACCCCTCTCTCTTCCTCCCCAGCAAATGATGCCTATGAGACAAAGCCCAAAGGGGACCAAAGTAAACTGCTTCTGGAGAGAGTAAGGTGCTTCTGTGTTATACTTGCACAGTTTGTTCACTTCACGAGGGCACTCGGCCAAGGGCCCAGGTGAGCAGGATGAAAATCTTGCTTATACTCAATGCCAAGCCACATACAAAGGCCTCCCCAGAGAAATTGTGGGGCCATTATGGACAGACATGGGAAAATTCTGGAAGTCTAGCATGCATGGGATTATTTTCAGGATCCCGGGTCTGTAGTGATTTTGCTTCCTGTGATTATGGACTGAGATGTCCTAATAGGACCAGAGATACACATTGTGAGAGGCATGGGAAATGGCATGAATCACTAATTGTCTGCATATGTGTTTCCTCCAAGGCTCTTCTTTCATTCTCTGCTGCATAAGAGATGTTCAATCCAACGTGAGAGTCAGGTAAATCTGAGGAAGATAAAGTCCCATGGCTGGAGAGAGCAGGGGAAATGCAGAATTAACAATGTCCTTTCTGTTTTCTAGGAGGGCTTTTTCTGGAGAAGGCGGCCACTTTGGCTTCGGGACATGTACAGACCTCTCAATGCCACACGGAAGAAAAACATGGCACAGAAGCTACACGACAGGGATTCTTCTGATGAGGATGAGATTTTCAACAAGGAACCAGGGTACCTGATTGGGGACAATTTATACTTCTTTTCTAAAATGAGTTAATTATGAAAAGTTTAATTGTTCCTTTACAGAGTTAAAGGCATTCTTCTTCTTATCTGCAGAGAGAAAGGTGATGCCCCAGCAGAGAAGCCTCAGGCTGCACATTCAGCTGCTGAAGACCTGGGTGAGGAGAGCGACAGTGAACTCCGCACCGTCATCGTCCTCAAGTGACCTTGTCCTGCCTCAGGCTGTCTATAAAGTTTATTTTCTTTTTATTTTTATTAAAAAATTTATTTTTTATTGGTGTTCAATTTGCCAACATATAGAATAACACCCAGTGTTCATCCCATCAAGTGCCCCCATCAGTGCCCGTCACCCAGTCACCCCCACACCCAGCCCACCTCGCATTCTACCACCCCTAGTTTGTTTCCCAGAGTTAGGAGTCTCTTATGTTCTGTCTCCCTTTCTGATATTTCCCACTCATCTTTTTCTCCTTTCCCGTTTATTCCCTTTCATTATTTTTTGTATTCCCCAAATGAATGAGACCATATAATGTTTGTCCTTCCGATTGACTTATTTCATTCAGCATAATACCCTCCAGTTCCATCCACGTCGAAGCAAATGGTGGGTATTTGTCGTTTCTAATGGCTGAGGAATATTCCATTGTATACATAGACCACCTCTTCTTTATCCAGCTCCCCCTCCTCAACTATTAACCATACTGAATGCTCTCAGCCTCATCTAGTCTAAAACCGAGAAGTGGTTCTCACTCCCGGAGAGATTATTACCAGAGAAGCAGCCCCCACACACTCAGGGCCACATCTCCACCAGCCATTTTTTACGGGTCACAGAACCCCTGGCCCAGGTCAGTGGAGCTTGCTTCCAAGAGCTGCCCTGTTCCCAGGCCAGCCCTATAAATACTCCCAAAGTCCCCCTGGACCTGCAGTTAGTAGTACCTCTGCCGCCGGGCACTGTCCCCACACTCAGGCCCTACGCTCCCCGCTGGACCAAAGCCTGCAGGTGAGAAGTGACCAAAGCAGACATCCCCCCTCCCACACACTTTGGACCTTTTGTTCGGAGTCCACCTGCAAAAGAAATGTCAACTCTACCGAGGAAAGCAAACACACAAGTACCTGGCTAGATGAGAATAACCAGATCCTGGAGCTTCGTGCCTCAGGGGCTGATGGGCAGGTACAGGAGAAAGTCCCGAGGAGGAGGGAGCGGGGAGCTAAAGACGCCCTGCTGGCATAAGATATGGTCAAAACACGTACACTTTTTTTCCTCAGAGCCCCCGGGCTGGAAGCACCACCAGCGCCCATGCCCTCAGGGAGGCAAAAATAGCGTAGACGTCACTAGTCTGCTTTTACGAGTGGGAACCTACCCCTCAGGAGGCCAACGTTACACGGATGGCGCTGAGCCAGGCGAGATGAGGAACCCAGAAGCCAGGATCTAGTCTGAGCAGACACTGCTAGAGGCGGGTGTTAGGCCAAGCTCCTCGTACGTCGGTGACCTCGCTTAGTGGCCTCACCTCTTCAGGCGGATCTCCCTCGCCCGTTAGCAGAGTCGCGAGCCTCCCATCGTGACCTTAGGTGAGAGCAGAGCCGGCTGCTTAGTTCCCTGAGCCACCCAGGTGCCCCCATCTATACACTTCTGATGTTCCATCACCTTTGCTTTCGCGGGACAAACTGAACTTAGCCCTGGTCTACTGTCTTCTTCTATGTACTGTTGGATTTGCTGTGAGAATTCCTGGTTCAGCATTATCGCCCCTCTGTTCATGAGGATGACGGGCACGTTAGTTTTCTCGTACTTTTGTTCTTGGTCCTATTTCAACGGAAAGTTTAAACTAACCACAGAATGAGTTGGGGGATATTCCCTCTCTGGGCTATGGGTGAATTTGTATGATTTGAGACAACTTGTCTTGAAAGTTCTGTGGAACTCACTAATAAAACTTCCTAGCTGGGAAAAAAAAAAAGAAGGAAAGAAAGGAAAGAAAAAAGAAAGAAAGAAAGAAGAAAGAAAGAAAGAAAGAAAGAAAAGAAAGAAAGAAAGAAAGAAAGAAAGAAAGAAAGAAAGAAAGAAAGAAAGAAAGAAAGAAAGAAAGAAAGAAAGAAAAAGAAAGAAAAAAGAGCCTCACCTCTTCAGGCGGATCTCCCTCGCGCGTTAGTGGAGTCCCCAGCCTCCCAGATCGCTCACCCGCTGGCTTCAGGACCGTTGGCCCCGCCCCGCGGCTCCTCCCGCCCCGCCATTGGCTGCGCGGGCCGGGGGCGGGGCCGAGCGCCCAAGCGCGGGGATGGCGTCAGGCGCCGCCAGCGCAGTTTCCGGGTGTCGGTGGCGGAGAGGCCGGAGCGTCCGGTCAGAGGCGCAGAGGCTGCAGCGGCCAGGAGCGACCCCCGCCCCCTCCCCGCTCGCTCTGGTGAGTCCGGGGTCAGGGGGGAGGGGGGGAGGGGCGGCGGGGTCGAGATGCGAGCGGGCGGCGGGCGCCTTCCGTGGTCCCACGCCCCTGGTTGCCTTTGCGCTGTCCCGCTTCAGAACCCTTTGCCTTCCCGGTTCTAAGCCCCGCACCCTACCCCCCTCGGAGCCGAGCCTTCAGCCCGCACAGCCCCTGCTGACCGCCCCCTCCATCTTCTCCCGACGGGGACCCGGGGACCCGAGCCCAGCACGTACCCCCACCCCTCACCTCTGGTGTTGCGTAAATGCAGCCACACTCTTGACCCCCTGCTAGTCCAGTTCCAACCCTGAGCGCAGACACATCCCTCCTCCGCCCTCTGAAGCGTCACACCCTCACCCCTCAACCCCTGTGGCAATCCCGGTTTAGGATTGCCAAAACTTTGAAAACACGGGTCTATAATATGAAGTTAGAGATTTAAAGATTTATAGTGGATTTATTTTTTTAACCTTCTCATTCCCCTTTTATTTTCATTGTCATTATTTTTTTTATTGTTCGATATTTTAAAAGCTTTATTGGAGTATCATTAAGAGACAAATAAGTAGGGATGCCTGGGTGGCTCAGTAGTTGAGCATTTGCCTTCGGCACAGGGCATGATCCCGGAGTCCTGGGATTGAGTCCCCCATCGGGCTTCCCGCAGGGATCCCGCTTCTCCCTCTGCCTATGTCTCTACCTTTCTCTGTGTGTCTCTCAAGAATAAATAAATAAAGTCTTAAAAAAGAGAAAAAAATAAGTATACCTTTTTATTGTGTATAATTTAATTCATTTGAACATATTTAAACACTTGTGATACCAGCACCACAGCCAAGGTAAAAGCCATATCCAACACCTCCTAGAATTTCTTTGTGTCCATGTGTGTGATAGGAACACTTAATATGAGATCTATCCTCTGAACAAATTTTGAAGTGCACAATACCATATCATTAATGTAGGTACTATATTGTATAGCAGACCTGTGAGACTAGTTTAACTGAAACTTTATACTCACAATTTCCTCACCCACACACCCCACAAACCTGGCACCCACTATTGTATTCTCTGCTTCTCTGAATTCAAGTATTCTAAATACCTCACATAAGTGGAATCATACAATAATTGTACTGCTGAGACTGGATCATGTCCTCCAGGCCTATCCATGTTGTCACAAATGGCAGGATTTCCTTCATTTTTAAGGCTGAATAATATTCTGTTGTATGTATATACTATAAATATATATGTATTCCATTTATCTGTTCATGGAGACTTGGGTTGTTTCCATATCTTGACTGTTGTGAATACTGCTACAATGAACACAGGAGTGCAGGTATCTCCTGTTCATTCACTTTTATCTGCCATCTCAGTATATAGCCAGAGATATGAAAGTAAATCCAAACATCTCCCATGCCCATGTGTTCTTATTAAGTCAACATCCCAGTTCTACCAATTTTATCTCAGTCTTATTCATTTATTCCCTATCCACATCACCTTGACAACCACACCTTATTTCAAGCATTATATTTCCTCCCACTTGAACTCCAACAGTGGCCTTCTAAATGGCTTCTCTATCCTCATTTTTGTTCCTTGAAAAATCTGTTCTCCATATTATCACCAGGTTTCTTTTTTCTAAGATTTATTTATTTATTTATTTGAGAGAGGGGTTGGGAAGGTGTAGAATGAGAGTCTTAAGATTCTGTGCAGAGCCTGGAGTCTGATATGGGGTTCAATCTCATGACCCTGAGATAATGACCTGAGCCAAAACCAAGAGTCAGACACTTAACCAACTACATCATCCAGGTGCTCCTATCATCAGGTTTCTATTTAAAATTCATGTTTGTTGTGTCACAGGACTGTTTAAAATATTGTTTTTTTCTCTAAGTTTGCAATAAGCATCAAGAAATGAAAATGGTGAAAATATTTCCTTAAAACTATAGCAAAAAAGTGTACAATACTTAGGAATAAATATAACAAACAGGTACAGAAAGGATAAAAAATCAGAAACAAAATTGAAATAGCATATTATTTCTCAGATGGTAAGAATTATTAGAATAAAAGCATCAGTTTTCTCAATATTGATAAATGAATGCACTTCAAGTCCAATTAAAATATTTATACAGATTAGTGTTTTAAATTATCTTTTGAATTGACAAAAGTACTTAAATTAATAAGGATAATTTCTGAAAATAGTCAATAAAAGCAAAGAATTGTGAAAAGGAATTTACATTAATAAATATTAAAAACATTATAAATATTGTCTAATGTAAAATGGAATTTGATGTAAAAATAGAAATCAGTAGGATCTAGTTGAAAATCTAGACACAAACCACAGATCATATGAAACAGACTTAGAACAAATTATTTTAAGATTTGTGTGGAATCAGAAAAGACCCCGAATAGCCAGGGGCATTTTAAAAAAGAAAACCATAGCTGGGGGCATCACAATGCCAGATTTCAGGTTGTACTACAAAGCTGTGGTCATCAAGACAGTGTGGTACTGGCACAAAAACAGACACATAGATCAATGGAACAGAATAGAGAACCCAGATGTGGACCCTGAACTTTATGGTCAACTAATATTCGATAAAGGAGGAAAGACGATCCACTGGAAGAAAGCCAGTCTCTTCAATAAATGGTGCTGGGAAAATTGGACATCCACATGAAGAAGAATGAAACTAGACCACTCTCTTGCACCATACACAAAGATAAACTCAAAATGGATGAAAGATCTAAATGTGAGACAAGATTCCATCAAAATCCTAGAGGAGAACTCAGGCAACACCCTTTTTGAACTTGGCCACAGTAACTTCTTGC